GGAACAGGTGGGGGAGCAATAGCCTCGTACGGTCCTCAAGCACAAAGTTCAAGTGCTGTATGTGCAAGGAAAAATGCATGTGCCCGCTGAGAATCCCGCCGACAATAAAACTCGGCCGTGCGCTGAATCCCGCTACAGGATATTTCTACATGTTTATCAAGTGTGCATGCGGATACAGGGGTAGCGGTGTGTGTTTGGTCATCTGAAAGGTGTTGAATCAGTGGATAATATATCAGGAGGGGAGGTCGATCCGCGGGGTTGTACCACGCGCTTTCCATGAATATGGGAATGTTGCCGCACACCAAGCCATACCTGCCTCACCGTCTTAACTTTTCCTCGCATCTTAGATCTCACAGACCTTACTGCGTGCCTCGGGCTCGTTGGTCCTGTCTCATGGCAGTCTCGTCTTCACCTCAAAAGGGGCCGTCAGACCAGCCTGATACCGGCCACAACGCGGGGAGCGGCCTCAGCCATGGGGAGAATTCTGCTGATGTTGAGGCAAGTCGCAAATGACTATAGAGTGATATGGAGTACATCGGAGTTGGGATCTTGTGGTGTGATATGATCGTGGTGGACAGTCGCTACTTGGCCGTTTGGCGTGTTCTTTTACGGCGGTTTTCGATCCCTACCACACAGAATGGGCATGGCGCTGACGCAGATGCTCACCGAGAGTACCCTGTGAAACGCTTTGTCTACGTCATTGCCAATATCACTGCGTTGTCGGGCCTTCTCTTTGGCTACGACATTGGTAAGGGGGAAGGGAGGAAAGAACGGGGCGGGGAGGGGTACCGCCAGTCACATAGTGGAAGACTGGTGAAGGTAAGGTCATCCACGGCTTTCTTCAGCCAAGGAACACCACTTCCACAACACGGTCACGCCTCGACCCTTCCCATTCAGGGGGCTCGGGAGGCACCTTCGAAATGGCGGGCTTCAGACGGTTCTTCGGGTGGCCGGCCCTGGGCGACAAGTCCGATCCGGCCTGGGTGGCCAACCAGCAAGGTAAGGGGATCGTTCCTTCGTAACGGCTTGAAAACAAAGGTTATCGTGAGAGAGAGAGGAGGGAGGGAGGACTGACACGGGTGGTAGGCCTCTGAGATGAAAGGGGATAAGTAACGTTTGGTGGGGGGGAGGAAAGGAGGAAGGACCCGATGAGGAGAGAAGGAGGAGGTCAAGGAGAAGGAAATGCACGGGAGGGAGGACTTTGAATGGCCCGGGACAGAGAGGTGTGTGCGTTGGTAAGGTAGGTACGAGAATGCGGCCTCGGCACCGGGCTTGGTCGGGGAGGAGAAGAGCGTGGGCAGTGAATACGATGGCCGAGCACGCGTACAGGCGACTCGTCGAGAGCCTCGATCGCTGATAGCGACATCGATATTGCTATCAGACGAGGAGAGAAGTTGCTGTCGAGAGAAGCCACTTGCCCGCGGTCCACATCATTGAGCCACTCTCTCCAGCTAGTCCGACCTTCCCTCTCCCTGATCCCTCCCCGATCCTTCCTTCCCACAGGCTGGATCACCGCCATGTTCTCCCTGGGCTGCATCGTCGGCTCGCTCCCCTCGGGCTTCTTGACCGACTTCATGGGTCGAAAACGCTGCATCATATTCCTGTCCTTCGTCTTCACCGTCGGCGCCGTCATCCAGCTTGTCCCCAGCGGCTACCAAATGCTTCTGGCCGGCCGTTTCATCTCCGGCGTCGGTAGGTTCGGGCGGCGGCCCGGGAGGGAGCCGGGGGGGTTCAGGGGAGGCTGCTTTCATCTCCCTGCTCGCTTATTGCTGGTGATGAGTGGTAGGGGAGGCTCGCTGTTAGGGTTTTGGACGTTCTCCGAGATAGCCAAACGCCGCTCGAACTCTCTGGGCGCTCCGCCTGTTTTGACTGCGTCTCGCCCACCAAGCCCTTCTGCTTCCCCTCCTACTCCCTTCCTTTCCAGGTGTGGGCGGACTGTCCATGGCAGCTACTCTTTACCAGTCAGAGACCGCGCCCCCCAAGGTGAGCCGACCTCTCATTCGACGTTCCTTTTACCTTCCCTCCCTCCCTCCCTCCATAACTTCCTACCTGCTCCACCCCTTCCAACCTTCTCTTCTTCCGAAGTGCTCCCTCCCTCCCACGCTCCCTTCCTCCCTTCCTCCTCCTCCAGGTTCGAGGTCTGGTGGTCTCGATCCAGCAGCTCTCCATCACGGCCGGCATCCTACTGGCCGGGGGCCTGAACGTGGGCTTGCAGCACTGGGACGAAGGCTGGCGCATTTCCTACGGTGGCAAGGGCTTCTTCTCCCTCCTTCTCATGCTCCTGATGGTAGGGAGTGGTCTTCGCGGCCTGCTCTGTCAAGTGGTGTAGGGCAGACGGGACATTTCTGGTTGGCTGGCTGCTTTTCTCTCCCCCTTTTTGTCTCCCTTGGTGCAATTGACGGCTCTGGCCATCTTCATCGTCTCTATCGAGATGTATCGTTCTTTGCGAGGCCTTCTTATCACCTGTCGTATCCTCTTTCATACAGTCGCCACTATCCTTTTCTCCTTGTTCTTGTCCCTCCCTCGATGGCTTTCTCTTTCAAGCTCACATTCACCGACACGTACCAACTATTCCCCTTCTTCTCTCTCCTTCCTGTACATGCCATACTGCACCTTAGATTTGTCTCCCAGAGTCGCCCCGCTGGCTGGTGGCGCAAGGTAAGAGTGAGGCGGCCAAGGCTTCCTTAGGTCGGATCCGACAAGAGGAGGAGGTGGAAGGCGAGCTCGCAGGCATCGAGGAGGCTGTGGAGGTAGGGAATGTTCTGGGAGGGAACGGGCTCGAGGGCAGGGAAGTGGAGGGGGGCCAGGTGACAAAGGCGGAAAGGGGAACAGAGGGGGGTACATCGTTAGCATAGAGGCAAGATGGGTGAGAGGCCTGGGTCGAGGGTGAGAAGGAGGGTTGCGACCGACGCAAAGACGATGCCCGTGTGCGCGGTTGGAGCGAGTTGCCAAGTATCGAGAAACACCTCCAGCACTAAGATCCTTATGCATCCGCTTCCTACCCGTGTTCTTCCCTCAGGCGGAGGCACAAATGGAAAAGGGCGCCTGGAAGGACTTGGTCTCGCCCGTGGACTTTATGTTGTACAGGACCATGCTGGGCTTCGGCGTGCAGTTGTTGCAGCAGTTCTCCGGCATCAATGCGGTGGGTTCCCCTTTAGAAATGGAGGGGAAGGGGTGGACGGTAGATGGATGCGAGGGAAGATATGTGATATACGAATAGACGTGGAGGGACGCGTAAAGACAGCAAGCAAGCACGTGTAAGAGAGAAAGCGTAACGAGGGGAGTGTAGGGCCAGAAGGGATCTTGAATGCAATGGTAAGAGGGTTTTGAACGTCCTGTCGGTGTCTTGAATGGTGCGAGAGAGTGGCCCCCGCGAAGCGCATGCCCGGCATGGCGATCCTTAAGAGCCACGGGATTCGGTAAACAAACCATGTAGCGAGGCCCGGAGTGTCCACATCAGCAGGGTTGCCTTACCGGACGGCAGGACAATCACGGCCCCAACGCCTGCAACGCTTAGTTGTCCCCTCCCGTTTTCTTCTGCTATTTTCCCGGCCGCAGGTCATGTACTTCGCCCCCGTTATCTTCAAGAAGTTCCTGGCCTCTGAGATGGCTATCCTCGCCAACTTGGCCGTGGCCCTCGTCAACTATCTCAGCACCTTCCTTGCCCTCTACCTGGTGGACCGGGCGGGGCGCCGGCTTCTTCTTGTCTGCGGAGGGCTGGGGATGGCTTTATTCACGGGTGAGAGGTCCGCATGCGAGACGCTAGTGAATTATCTCGATACTTGGTTTGGTGATTTGAAAAATAAAATGGCATTGTAGAGTCTTGTCTGTGCGAGATTTGAGGACGTGCACCCCTCGATCGACGGAGAGTGAAGCACACAATGCGCGGATATGAGGTATTGGGGAGACGATGTTCAAAGGGTAGTTGAATGGCTGCGCGCGTGGTGCTGAGGATAGACGAGGAGATGGGGGTTGGGTAGAGGGGAACGGGAAGGAGACTTTGGACGGAGAGTACATGTGAGGCTTTTTTCGGGGTGCGCATGGCCTTGCCTTTGCAATGGCTCGATTCCTTCGTCTATTGTGATTCACACGGTCCTTTCCATGATCGTATCTTCATTTCTAGCGCGCATCTCCTTTCCCCGTATCCACATACTCGTTTACTGAGGGTGTTTTGTCTTGGCCGTACGCTAAGTTGCATCTTACCCTCGCCCCCTCAATTCCTTCATTGTCACTAGCCCTTTTCGCGCTCTTCACCTCCGCTGCCTTTGACTACCAGAACGATAAGCGCCTCGCTGGCGTCATCATTGCTTGTACAGCTCTGTACGTCATGAACTTCGCCTACTCGGTAAGACAGTATGTTCTCAGCTTCTCCTTCCTCGCTGCAATTTAGTCTGCCCTTCAAGGTCCTTCCTCTGATATCCCTCCAAAAGCCCCTCACCTTCATTACTAACGCTTCTTCACACCTTCTCTTCGATCTATCTCCGTTTCCAGCACACCCCCGTATTTCAATTGCTTTAAATTTGCTGTCCTCCTTACCGCTGCCCTCCCTGCTTTTCTCCATTCCTTGTAGTGGGGGCCACTAGCATGGGTCGTCTCGGCAGAGATCTTTCCCCAGCGCCTTCGGGGCAAATGCATGACGATCACCACGCTTGCCAACTGGCTGACAAATTTCTGCATCGCAAAAGCGGTGCCTGTCATGATCCTCCCGGAAAAGTGAGTAGTCGTCAAGGGCGGTGGAAGGAGGGATGCGAGCAGCTTATGCATTCCGTGGTTCCTTTCGTACGTTCTTCCCTGTCTCCCCCTACGGGGCCGAGACCAGAAGAGTCTCTTGGCCACTTCTTTGTCTTGTATCCGTGCTATATATATATATATGTGTATATGCACATGTATATATGTACATAAGTATTCGTCGTCTGAGAGGATGTTGGCCCTGAGCAGGTAGTAGCGCTTCCCCCGGGCGCCTGTACGCACGGAAGCTTCGTGAGTCGGTTTATTATCGTCTATACATTCCCATCGCCCATCATACTCATCGATCACTTTCCTTGTATCATTTCATCTTCCCAATTCTGCGGGATAGCCTCAATCTATGGGGCACTTTTCTCTTCTTCGCCTTCTGCTGCTTCTGCATGGCCACATTCGTGTTGCTTCTACTCCCTGAAACAAAAGGCGTCTCCCTCGAGGATATGAAGGCGCTCTTCCAAGTATGGATTACTGATACGCCATTAGCAGAGAAGTTGCAGTTGATTTCGAGACGAGCACAAGTTCGGGCGAGAAGAAAAGATAGATCTGAGAGCGGGCAGGATGGTAATCGGGAAAAGGACGTAGGTGCAGGAGGGGCTCGGAATTGATTGGAAACGCGTGTTGGATATTTCAAAGCATTTATTGTTTGTTGAGAAAGTGGAGGCCTCGATGACCTACTGGGGGATAATAACGCCCGGAAAGGACTCTAAGCGCAGCGGCTTGCCTCCTCCAAGCCCTCGGAGAGGAGACGATCTTCCCATTGTCTACAGTCCGAAAAGAGGACAACCGAGCACACATGACAATCTGATAGGGGGAGAGATGACCTCAATGAACCGTCTTTGCAGTCTTTTTCAGAGGTCAGACTCGAATTTATCTGAGGCCTCTGACGTGCAAACTTTGCGGAGAG